CACACACACACACACACACACACACAACCTCAGGAAGTACCATTGAGGGGGGCCTGTGGGTTCAGGCTGTGTCCTGCCCTAGACCTACTGGTATGTACCCCTGCCCAGATTCCAGAGGGTAACAGAAGTCCTGTAGTGAGAAAATGCTGTCATCCATGACTTTCTCCTGGGCCTGGGGGATTAGGGAAAGCAAGCTTGGCTTAGGCACCCCAGGTTTTCTAGCATCACCAGAGGAGAGGTTCTCACCCTGGGGCACCCATGGAAGTCTCTGGAGGGCCAGACATAATGGTTTTGTGGGCCCAGAAGTGTGAGTTTCTGATTCAGGTAGCTTGAGCTGCTCCCAACAGTCACATCCCTAACAGGGTCCTAGGCATGCTGTCACTGCCATTCGGGGACCCCACTGTCACCGCCCCAGAGCTGGAGGTGTTTGTTCTCTCCCTTCATGTGCGTTCAGCCCTGTTCAGTGCTCACATCCTAGGAATCCAACAAATGCATTACCTTGCGCCACTACAAGCTCTTGTTCTTGCAAGATAAACAGGAGAGCAGAGGGCACACATCTCAAAAGGGATATTCTTGTTTTTCAGGGTGGTTTGGTATTCGCAAAGATTTCTGCCAGTTTCTACTTGAGATCTTCCCATTTTTGAGAGAATATGGAAACATTTCTTATGATCTCCACCATGAAGATAATGAAGAAACAGAAGAGACACCTGTTCCGGAACCTCCTAAAATTGCTCCCATGTTTCGCAAGAAGGCCAGGGTGGTTATCACCCAGAGCCCTGGAAAGTACGTCCTGCCACCTCCAAAACTAAATATCGAAATGCCAGACTAACGGTCACTAGTGGACCAGAGCACAGGTGCCCGGGACACACATCCTCCCCGCTTCCTCTGCACCTGCTTTACCCCAGACCAGAGTGGAGCTGGGGCTCCAGGGACAGCCTCTCCTATGCCATTTGCTTCAGTACTGATCAGCCACCTGCCACAGAGGGACACAGGTGGCTAGTAATGGGTGGTGTGTGCAGAGAGAGATGCCAGGGGGTGGGGCATGCGAGAGAAGGAGGAACCTGATTGCCCCAAGATGGGCACCAGCCCTGTGGTACCTCATCAGTGGTGGCACCTCCAGAGGCCTGCGGAAGAAGCGTGTGTCAACGGGGCAGCTTTCCCAAGTGCTATAATCCCTATCGAAAGTGTTGCTGGAAGATATGGTCTCCATGGGGCTGCGCCCTAGTCCAGCTCTGAGCCGTCCGCTGCCTGCAGCCCGCAGGACTGGAACTAGATCCGAGTGCACCTGGTGTGCAGATGTAGCACAGCCATGCCTTCCCTGTCCCTCCTCTGCAGGGGTTTCCCTCTGAGCATGATGGGCACAGGTTTTCATGGCCTCGTCCCTGAACCCTTCCCCATGGAGCGAGTGACTCCACACCTGTATAGTATTTATACAAATATTTTAGCATTGTAATATACAGTTTCAAATCCCGGTTCTGTACAGCATACTCTGTTCAAAGTATTTTTTTACAAGCTTGCCCTGGAGACAGACATGTTGTGTGTGGAAACTGAAGCAGGCGGCCAGCTTACTTGGCCCCAGAGGAGTGGAGACCCACATGGAGTATGGCCATTTGTGCACTGGAAGTCCTTCAGGGGTTTAGTGGCTGCTCCCGCCAGCACAACCACAAGCAAGAAATGGCATGTGCTCCCCTAACCCACAGGGACCCTGGCCAGCAGAACCCTAGAAAATGCTGCCTGAGGCTGAGATACCAGAGAAGGTGATAAAGAGCAGAAAGCCCAGAGGAGCACTCTGGCTGCCAGCAAGCAGAGTATGGGCCAGCAGGCCAGTGCTGGCCTTGTGGCCGTGGTATGCTGGGCTCTGCTGCTGCCACTCATATCTGGGTGCTGCAGGTGCAATGGCCTTTCCCCTCGAGTCAAGTAGGTCATTTTTTAGAGGCTCAAGAGGAGCAATGACCTTCTGATCCTGGAGCCAAGGCAGGCTTTTGAGTGACCAGCTGCTCAGTAGCCTGAGTTGGGAAGAAGTAACATCCGCCTGCTCCCTGTCCCTGCCCCTGCCCTAGCAGTGGCCTCCAGCATCACTGGTCTGTTTCAGAGGAAAGCAGGATGAATGTTGCAGCACTTACTGCTCGGTGTGTGAAAACTGTAGCTAAGCCCACTATTTTTGCTGCCTGTAGTTGTCTAATAAACCGATTCCTCATTTTATGTGTGCATGGCACGTGGCTTGCTTTAGAGGTTCCCAGGTAAATTGGCTTGTCCTCAGCCAGCCCTGAGGACGGTTTTCACCTGTGGCAGGTGGATGAGGCTGGTGTCCTTTATAATGAACTTCTCTGCAAGGGAGAGCAGCAAGGGTTCACAGATGGGAAGGGCTCATCATTCATATCCTCCACGTGGCTGGGCGGCACCACTCTGTCCTTATCTTAGTTGGGGATTCTTTCTGCCCTGGTCCTTGCCTTCCAGAGCCAGCCTACAACTGGAAGTACCTCTCTAGAGATCCTGAGATACTGGGTCCTGTGCACCACTGAGGGTCACTTAGTCACCAGATACTCCATGCTTCCCTCAGGCATGGCCCAGCTGTCCTGCAGTTAGTGGAGTCTCTGTTCTGGGGGCCTCTTCTTATGCGCAGCAGACACAGACAGGAAAGTGCGCAGGCTGCTGGTGGCAAAGGTTTCCTACAGGGAACCATAGGCCACAGATGGGTCTTTTCTTGAACTTGGTGCATTGCAGACATGCTGATAAAGTAGGTGCCTCATTAGGTATTCACAGTGGCTGTGACATTACAACAAGGGGCTTTGCTCCTCTCATATGTCCCCTTACTCCGCAGCCCTGGGAAATAGGTGCCTTTAATTTTTCTTGCTGCTGGGAAGTGGAGGCCCAGAGAGGTAAAGGAAGGAGCCCTGAGTTCCAAGCTAGGAACTAGCTGAGTAGACATGGTGACATTAGCTATCCGTCTGCAGCACTGTACCTGGGGTCTTGGGCCCTGGGGTTAGGATGCCCCAATTGTGGAGGGCTTGTAGTTTCATGGAAATGCGTGGACAGTCTGAGCTCTGCCCAGAAGGAAGTGCCAGGAGCCGATGGACGGACCTGTGTATAGGTTCAGTGGGATGGGCAGGGTGCTTTAGAGGCCTATCCTGATTGACGCCCTTCCCCAGCACACATGGTAAAGGGATGAGGATTATGGAGATCTAGTGCTGGGCAGGCCACCTTGTGTTTCTGCGCATGTGCTTTCTGGTCTCAGAATGAGGTGTATGAACATTCTCTGGCCAGTTGGACAGACATCATCCAGAAGACTTGATGGCTCCCGATGCATAACTGACCCATGTATCCCTCTCACTGTCTGCTTTTTTGCTGCCTCTGACTGAGAGCATGGCTGCAAAAGTGGGGTCTCTGAGTGGGAGAGTGTCACAGGAAGAATTGGCTATAGTGTCAATCTCAGATTCCCTCCTAAAATGGGCTGCGGGTTACAGACATCAACCTTGCCCAGGGACATGTGATTCTGACAAGGAGTTCCCGTGTTTCTTGGCCCATACTTTGCTGGGACTCTGCAGGCCCCAGCATCCCAAAGACAAGGAAACATTTCATGATGTGTGCCTAAGGTTGGGCAAGCTACCTTTAATGCTAATGGGGTTTGATGTCCCCTTTCCTAAGGAGATGACTGTATGTGGGCCAGGCTGGTAACAGGCTGACAGATAACATGTCCAGCTGGGCAGATTTTTACATCCTGGGCAAAATGAGTTATGAAGTCATGCCTTAGCACTGAGCCTCTCTGTGCTGTCTTAGGGCACCATGACAATGCATGCAGGACACGCACTGAGAGTGGCTAGATAGGAGGAGCAGAATCTGAGAAGCCTGAGCCCCAGTTTCCTAAAGTTACACTTTCCCCCAGAATCGAGAGCACCCCAGCAAACACATAGGACCACCCACTCCAGCAGAAAATGACCTTCCTTCAGCAGGTGCTTCCTGTGCCCAGAAGAACGAGGTCACAGGAGCACAGCTGACATGCCTGTTGTTACTTGAAGAAATGGCCCTGGAGCCTATCACCTCAGAGCCTTGATTGGAAGGCCTTGTCTTGACTAGGTTCTGGTACATGGTAAAGGCAACATCCTCTCTGCCATGTGAGCTTGCGTCCACTGGGTGGGTTGATGGTACACGCTGAATGATGGTCAGTGAGAAACTGCTTCTTCAGGAGATTCTGGGAAGGAGTGGCTTCCTTAGATACAGATACGCCAAGGCTCCAGTAAAATGTGCAGGACACATGCACCTCCCTCTTCCTCTGGAGTCAGCTCAGGAGGAAGTCCCTCCCTCCAGGGTGGCCTAGGATCAGGGTGACCTCTGGCAGAGTTCAGAGCCCTTCTGGTACCTGTTTCTCTTGGGTTGGTGGTGATATAACTATGAGTTATGACCAGGAAAGTATTAAGGCTCTTTTTACCTGTCTGGAGTGCACAGGATCACAGGTGTTTTTAGGTCACCATGTGGATAGGTCCTAATAGTGAGGGACTCATGTCACCTACTAGCTCCTATGGCCACGTGACTCCACTGTGATGTAGGTACCTGAGTGGATCCTGTCCTGCAGTCCCAGTGGATCTGTGCTACATTGGAAGCAATGGAGTGACTTTGTATATGTGAGCCTGACCTGGTCCTGAGCCCCATGAGAAGAAGAGCCACTGGAGTCAGAGTCACCCCTGGACTCCGTTCTGTGCCTAGTGTGTAGGATACACCATTGAAGGACCCACGTCTCCTAACCTCCCAGTGTCCGCAGCCAACCCCCTGGCCCCAGGCCTTGTGAATTCATCTCCTGGCCTGCCATTTGTAGCCATTCCTTGGGGGGAGAGGGGATGCTTATAGTCCATGGAGGAAGCTTGAGAATTTGAAAGCAAATATGCCTCCTATTTTGAGGGACTGAGACCTTTTCCACAAAGGCTTTCAGCACCACTAGCTTCTGCTGCATGGGCTGCAGGTGGTCAGTGGGCGTAGCCAACTCTTGGGATTCAGGTTCCTCTTCTAAACTGAAAATCTTAGTTATGGTTCTACTGTGATCCCTATTTTAAAAGAGACACTCCTCACCCCCTTGGAGATGAGTCCTGTGTGTCCTCTGGCATCAGTTCCTTTGCTTCTAGTACAGGAGAATGGGTGATAAATCCTTTTTGAGACAGGTGGGGAGCGAGCCATATGAATACATGATAGCTATCAGTGGGTCCCTTGTTTGCCAGGCCTATGTGGAACACCTAATGGAAAGGCAACGCTTGGACTGGACATGCACTGCTCTGCATAAATAGGAAGGAAGGACAAATGCAGCATTCCCTCTGGCCCACCCCAGTGTGTCTCTTGTTTATGTAGTAGAAACTTTAGCACCATATCATTCCCTGGCATAATACAGGGGCCAAGCATGTATTCCAGCAGCCTATGTGTTGAAGTTCCCCAGATGTCCTCTCTCCCTTCTTATGAATACCATTTTTGTGAAAGCAGACAAGATTAGTGAGGCTGAAATCAAGGCGAGAATACTGGAGCCATCGTAACATAAAGGCATGTTCCAGAGGGATGAGTCACAGGACTTTACAAAAGGCAATAACCATGGGGATTGCACAAGAGATTTTGAGACAATGTTAGCCAAGGTGACTAAAATCAAGGATGACCTTGGTGTGCGACTGAGCAGATTGTCACTGGGCAGATTCACACAATGCAATGTGATATCAAAATATGGTGAATCTTTTGATTTAAAAGAATTATTACAGTAAAAGACACATTGCTATTAATCTCCTTCAAATCAACCTCCTTTGCTTCTACTACATTTTTTTACTACAATTATCTAATTATTCCAGTCATTCTTTGATGTAGTCCTGTGTGTCCTCTGGCATCGGTTCCTTCAGTTGTACTCTTCTGGCTGTGCTGATACCCTGAAGCCATTGAAAAGGTTTACTTTTCCTGGTGATTTTGACTTTTGGGGAGAGCCCGAAGTCCCACAGCATCAGGGGCAATGAGGTAGGTGAGTAAGGACACAACACACGGTTTCTTGGGGCCTGCCTTTCTCTTGGATATTACTAGGTGGCAGCAGTCCCCTGTCCTCCATTTCTGTACACAGGAATACACAATCAAGAGGCCACATGAAGACAAGGCAAGAAGGTGGCAATCAGCGGGGCCAGAATACCTTTCTGATCCCAGATAGTTAGGGAGCAAAGCAGGAGACTCCAATAGAGTCTGAATAATTTAGAGAAGTCCTAACTCAATATTTAAGAATTGATATGCGGGTGAAAGGGACAGGGGTTCAATCCCCGAGTCTGCAGTGCCGGCCTTGCCCCTGCCCCTGGGGTGCGCTGACACAGCAATTGAGTCTGTGCATAGTGGCATGGGTTTGTAATCCCAGCTCCTGGGAGGCTGTAAACAGGCGGAGCACTATGAGTTTGATCTAGTAGTGAGACCCTGAACACCCTGTAGACCCCTAAAATACCTAAAAAAAAAATACACAAAAACTGAGATGCAGTTTGGTAGTAAAGTGCCTGCTTAGTATGCAGGAGTCCGTGGGGTCCAACCCAATCACTACAGGGGAGATAAAGGTGACCCTCAGCAAATGAGAGGCCTCATCAGAAAGGAATATTTTCCTGACATCTTTGTTTGTTTGTGCTAATGTCCAGAACAGTGAGGCTGCGTTCTCTTAGGAGATGAAGTCTGACAGCCACCACCCTAAGGATATGTATCACAAGAGAGATAGAAAGTACCTTGGAATGAGAAAAAAGAAATCCATGCCTCATTTTGGCTTGCAGAGTAGCTCAGTGAGTAGAGCTCTTACCTGGCATGCATAAGGCCCTGAGTTTGATTCCCAGCACTGAAAGAGAAACAAAAACAGATTACAAAATCTTGGGATGAACAAAAAACACTCAGCAATTTAGAACTGAAAAGCCTACAGTGAAGAGAAAATGATGTCAGGCCATGGCCTAGTCCTTTAACATTTAGGGACCATAACAAGAAGAAACCAATCCAAAATAAGCATGAGGAAGGGAAGGACAATAAAACTTAGGGTGGAGAAAATAAAATAGAGAATGAAAATGAGTAGTGAAAATTGATTCATGGGAAAGTTTGTATTTTTGATTTATCTTTTGCTAGAAAAAGCATGGTAAAAGAGAGAAACTCGAAATGACCAAAACCACATAGTACCCGACTACAGGCTTGTCATTCTTGGAGAAGGCAAAATATAATAGATTTTATAAGAA